AGTAAAATGAACCTTCACAAACATATCTTTTATCCTTTCTTGCCGATGACAAAAACATGAGGAAACAAATGATCCAAATGTTATATGTTAATAATAAAATATTTTTTTTTTACATTTAAATGTTCAACTGGGCCTCGTAGAATGCATGTGTCGCTTGCTTCACATTTGACATAGTTTCCAAGTATTTCGAAGGTCCTCTCTATCTAGAAGACGTATATTATAAATAACTAATCTGAATTCATTTGTTTTGATTCAACAATATTAAGCATTTAAAAGAAAAGTTACTTTTCTGTTTTTGCTTTTCACGTCATACTATTAGTGCGTTGGGAAATTAAGCAAAGATATTTATACCCATCTATGATCTTCAAGTGAAAATTAATAATGCTATAAATGGCATATATTTCATGGTTAGAGATATGGGGAATCAAGTTTTTTTTTATTCTGTTTTCGACCACAGTTCCGATAAATTGAGTGTAGTCCTGGTCTCGGCAACTTCTTCTCTAGTAGTCTGAGACTAGTCCTAGAGAAAACTATTCGAAAATTTTTTCGAATCACATCTAAAATAATTCTTCGATACTCATGTTTTTTCAGTTATCTAGTCGACAACTAGCTCCTTTTTGAGTCATCCATCTCTTTCATACTACTTTCTGATTCTTATGATTGATAAGATACTTTGCTTAAAACCGTAGAATTCTTTACTATAAACTTGAGTTCTGGTGCCGAAAGTTTTATTTTTGGTCCTGTACACCTCTAACGATGGTTTATGCATTTTCTCTTACTACAATTCTTATTAGCTTTTCCACTTTTTTGATGCAATGAAGTAAAATATTTACATCACGAAATATAAGGAGACCACATAAAACAGCTACTATCCAAAGAAGAAAGACATTTCACTTTGCCTAGATTGTATATTGAGCACAGTACAAAAGTTATGTTGCACAGTTTTGAATAACAGTAAGATAATAAGATTGAAGGAACATCTCATTGTTATTGGTCAATTCAGCATGTTGAATTTCTGAAAATTACATGTGAAAAATCGATCTCTTTTAATCATTATTGTGCATGTTGTATTTAATTATACATACAGAGTTTTTCTGTACTTTCTACTTGAAAATGTTAATACTTCTAACCAACGAGATAGATTATTTGTCATGTCTATCACTAATCGATTGTCTTATATCATTGATTTTTATCGGCTAGCGATTAGTACATGCCATGTTCATTATCGAATTGATGCTACAGAAAAATATCGATTTATTTATGGCTCAATAGTTAGAGAGATAATTGAAACTGAAATTATTAACTGTTGATGACTTGATATAATTTGAACTTCGTGAGAAAAAGATATCAAATATTATAGTTCACTAGCCTATTAGAATGAATGATTTGACACAATCAATAATGCCTCATTTGAACCGTTCGTAAAATTCCACTGGACAATTTGATGGCTTAGAGCAATGAAATACTTTTGAAATATTATCAGATCGATTATTTACTGTACCTTAAGCAAAATGCGTACAATAGGTGTGATATATCAAAACTATTAAAAAATGAATCTGTTTGAACTAGAGGAACATTCTTCCTCTAATTATCTTATATATATCCACATAGTTATACAGTTGGATCAACACACTAGTACTTTGTCATTAAATAAACAATTCAAACACGTTTTTTAAGTGAAACGGTAGTTACCTTAATTATGGTAACATTGATATTTGAACTCAAAAGATTGTATTAAATAGAATTTTGAATGAATATCACCAGCAAATTTCAAATACCTCAAGGAAAAAACTAAAATCTTTATTTTTTATTGTTCATAACACCGATGAACTCTTCGATATCAATTTATAATTAGATCACTCACCTTTAGTAAATTATTTCAAGACGTTTTATTAAACAAATTTTACCAATTATATTTTTTCATAAAGAGCAAACAAATTCTTCCAAAGTATTATACTTCTATACTCTCTGTTCTGATATACACTATTATTGTGAGTAAACATTTGGATTTATTGAATAATAAAAAGTAAGATATAGATAATTCATTTGAATTATTCGATGATGAAAACATACAACTAGAAATCTGTACAATACTACAAAACGACTAGCTAACCTTTATTTATTCTTTGAGGGTGATCTTATTTTTAGAGCAAATAAAGCAAAACTCTATTGTTAATATAGTATGCTCTGAAAAATCATTCACGATTATAATCATCGCACTTAGATTTGATTTAAAGATGCAATGCTGTTCCCACTAGTATCTATGTCAGAACACAACATATATTGAAAAGGTCTCTTTTACTATATTCCGAGTTTGTCGTCCTCTCATGTTTTAAAAACCTAAGTTGACGATTTTCATCGTCAAAGGCTTACTACTCTTCATTAAATTTTATCTGACTCAAAGCGAAATTGATCATCATAATCAAGTCATAAAAGAAATGCATAAGGAGCTTGTTGAAATCTCTAATGAAGGATTTTTTTCACTATCTATCAAAAAACAGTCATAATGAACTCATCCTCAAATTTTCTCAAGCACTATGTAGAACTAGATGGTATCTCGACAAAGTCGAGAATGCGAGATAAGTTGCGAAGCACGAATATCGACTATTTCAAACAATCAAGTTTTCGAAAAAAGCGAAAACGCGATCTAAGATTCCAACTGAAGTGATGTTTTTCTTGCAATAGTTTCTGTTTCGCAGAAAGCACGCCTTTTCATCGCTTCTTAGGGTGTGGGTGTTGGTGTGGGTGACTGCGGCTGTCGGTGATGGGTGTGGGTGGGTGTGAGTGCGGATGTGCGGTGTTGGTCTGGGTGTGAGGAGCACATACACATACACACCCACAACCACATCCAAACCCGCACCCACCTGAGCGAATATTTCCTCGAACTAAGGATCCACCACAGGCCTGATTCTTATAGGTACTCACCCACTGGTACCTGCTTTTTACTTGGATCATCGCTTATTTGGTATTAATCGATAGATCTCATCGATTTCTATCTGGCACAAATGTTTTCTCAACTGCCACAACTTTCAAAATCAATATTTGATCATTACATGGACCCCAAACCCATCTATAACCAGCTATTGCCCTGACAGACCCCTACCATGCTGATGAACTTGGGTCAACTTAGTACCAATCGATAGATCTCGACGATTTCGATCTGGCACAAATGATTTCACGAGTGGCACAACCATCAGAGCGAATATTTCCTCGGATTAATGGTCTCGGGACCTGGTTCTTACAGGTACTCACCCACTAGTACCTGTTCCTTGACCTAGATAATCGCTTATTTGGTATCAATCGATAGATCTCATCGCGTTCTATCTGGCACAAATGGTTTCACGAGTGGCACAAGCATCTGAGCGAATATTTCCTCGGATTAAGGGTCCGAAGGCCTGGTTCTTATAGCTACTGACCCAATGGTACCTGTCCCTTTACTTGGATCTTCGCTTATTTGGTATCAGTCGATAGATGTCATCGAGTTCTATCTGGCACAAGAATTTTCTCGACTGGCACAACTTTCAAAATGAATATTTGGTCATTATATGGACCCCACACCCCTCGATAACCACCTGTCGCCCTGCTGGACCCCTACGATGGTGATAAACATGGGTCAATTTAGTACTGATCGATAGATCTCGTCGAGTTCTATCTGGCACAAGTGTTTTCTGAACTGGAACACGTCTTGAAACGAATATTAGGCGAAAATACTGATTTTTGCACTAAAATCAGTGTTTTCAAAGCAGTATTTTGAATTTTTCAGCCGTTCGTGACGATGGAAATTTTTTGAAAGCCAGGCATTCCACAGCATATTCGATGCTCTGTCTGGCACAACAACGATCTGTTTTGGCACATGTCTGCTGGCGAATATTTCCCCAAAAAACTCGAATCTGCTGCTAACTTTACTTACCTGAAAAATACTGCCTTGAAATATTACTCTTGACATGAGTATTAATCTGAACCTGTGACGACTTTCGATAAAATAACATATTTATTCTTTCGATTACAAATAAGAAATACTGACAAATGACACGTCAAAAAAGTTCTCATTTGATTCAAAATTTTTATCACATATATATTATGTTGTACTTAGTGTATTCGGAAAATTTTAGACAACAAATTATTTACCAAATATCATTATTTTAATATAACTCATCAAAAGCTACAGATCTATATCCATATCAAAACTCATTCATCAAAACAATATTTTTCAACGTTTTCTTTTGTGAATATCAATTATAAGTATTCCTTGATTGGCAGTGAATAAGTCAGTTCATTTAATCAAAATATGATGATGACACGCAAGCTCTTCTGCATGCGAAAGTGACTTTTGGTCTACCTTGTATGTTTCTGAGAATTTCATTTGACAGATCTTTCTCAATTGATAATTAAATTACATTATCGAGAGAAGTATAGATAAAGTTATTAACCTCCTGGATACCGACAATTCTTACGTTCTTTACGATCTTATCGAAAAATCGAAAAATCACTCTCTCTTGCGTTCTATCTTCGTGAATTAGCTGTATACATGTATATATAATCGTATATGAAACGTGGATTGATACAGCCGTATTAATGAACATTTCGTTTCACAGCTGTTTATCGATACGACAGAACGAAAAAAAAATTCTTGAGTTCTGCTTGTCTTCAACCTGAAGACAGCGGTATCCAAGAGGTTAAAGGAGAATGTACGTATTATTAGCATTTTCTAATAATTCATGATAATATCGTATTTGAATTTTCAGTATGAGATTTGTTAGATAAGATGTATAACACGGAGAAAGACAAGAAAATTAATACTTCGCATATAGTCGAATGGGTAAAAGCGTGGATAATGCGATACTGGTTCAAATCCAGTGCGAAGTGTTAATTTTTTTTATAAGATTTTTTAAAAATTTCTCCCTTACGCCCAGAATAAAATAGTATTTGAAAGAAAATTAGATAATTGTAGTTTTTAAAAAAATCTTTAAAATACTAGTTGAAACTTTTAACATCATTTTCTATAGAGAAGCAGTAGGAGCAATATCATTAATAACAACATCACCTGCAACAACATTAGATACAGGAACAACAACACCAGCTGCAACAACATTAGGTACAAGAACAACACCAACAGCTGCAACAACATTAGATACATGAACAACAACAACAGCTGCAACAACATTAGGCACACGAACAACAACAACAGCTGCAACAACATTAGGTACACGAACAACAACATCACGTTCAGCAACAACATCACGTTCAGCAGCAACATCACGTTCAGCAGCAACATCACGTTCAGCAGCAACATCACGTTCAGCAGCAACATCACGTTCAGCAGCAACATCACGTTCAGCAGCAACATCACGTTCAGCAGCAACAACACCATCTGCAGGTGTATCACCACCATCAATAATTATGGTAGATATGAGAATCATCATTTAACAATTTCCGAAAGAATAATTAGTTAAAAAAAAAGGGTGTAGGCTGTGGGTGAGGGTGGGTGGTGTGTGTGAGGGTGAGTGGTGTGGGTGAGGGTGGGTGGTGTGGGTGTGGGTGTAGGGTGGGTGTGAGTATGATTCCTCTATCTATCTGTACCCACACCCACACCCACACCCACACCCCACACCCACACCCCACCCACACCCA